ATTCTTTTGGCTTAGTGACATACTAAGATATGGAAAGAACTATTGCAATAAGTACTGGAGGACAATGTATTAAGAAAGACGGTCGAAGTAGGCCCAGGACATCCACCCGTTCATTTATGAGAACAAAACCAAAAAATTGACCACGTTCAGGCTGTTTCGAGCAATATCGGCTAAACTTGTCGCCTGGTATCTTTGTACCAAGTATGTTGGTTTAGAAATGTTAATTGCATCAAAACGAGTGGCTCGGACCGATACTCTAGTATCTGGTGATAGTTGATAGGGAGGAAGGCTGGTATGCATATATATATATATATATGTGTGTGTGTGTGTGTGTGTGTGTGTGTGTGTGTGTGTGTGTGTGTGTATTTATATATAGTCACACATGCACAATTACATATACATACACACACGTTTACAGCCCACATGGAAATGCGAGTATACGTGTTGGCATACTCATACATGTATATGTATGTACACATACACTAAAGGATTTCGCCGTGGTGTAGCGGCCAGGCGCTCGCCTGTGGATCGGAAAGACATTGGTTCAGATCACAACAGAGCCGCACTTTTTCAAAAACAAAAATGACCTCTTAGCTTTCAGGTCAACCCAGCCTTAAATAGTGTTGTATATGATATACCCTATAGTTTTGTCCATTTCGAATTATGTGCGTCTTCGTTACGTATTTGGGCCTTTTGGTTTGTATATGTGACACTTTGTCAACATCTACAACTATAGGGGATAGTTAGGCAGTCTTTGTCAGTTTCGGTTGTTTCACACAATGTAATTCCTTATTTTCTATTTCTTATCTTCATAAATTCCTCTTTTTTTTCACAACATTATCTCTGTCTTATCATATCTGTTTCTATAAAGAGTTATATTTCTGCGTGTCCTGCACATGAATTTCTTTATTTGTTTCTGTATCTTCTCATTACTTTTAACGTGGAAGCATGTCAATGATTTATTTCGTGTCTTTTTTTTTTTTTAATTTAATATTCCTCCAGGGGTTTTCTTTCATGTTCGTATAGGGTGCATGTTACCAGGAAGTGGTCTATTGTTTTTTTTTTTTTTTTTTTTTTTTTATGAAAGCAGTCTAGGCATAAGGGTGCTGTAAATTTGGCTTACCAGAATCCAAGCGTAAATCTCCATAATTTGTTATTTGCTGGAATTTGTAGGTTTTCTGAGACTTGTGATGTCAGGGTGGATTCTCTTAAATATTCGCACGGCACTCTCGTGTAGCACTTATTTCCCGCTGTCTTTTCCATATTCCTGTAATGTACCCTTTTATTTGACTCTTCCCCTCAGGTTTTCCTACACCTGTTTCTATTATAATATCCTCCATTTCATTACCGTCTATGCCTTTATGCACTGGAATCCATGCTATAGTGAGATGGCATCCGTTGTTCCTAAGTTGTGTGGTTAGTGTTAATATCTCCGCTTTAATGTCTGACCTACTAGTTTTCTAGTGATTGCACTGATAAAGGAGAATCTGTCATGTAAGCATAATTTTTTTTTAAACATCGTTACCTACAAGGGACTGCAAGTTACCACTGACTGGTGCAGCCCTTGCAGGTACTGTAGTTAATAACTTTTTTCTGGAGGTTGAACGTGGTATCTGTGATCTGCCTTGTTGGTCTGTTGTCCAGACTGAGATTTAAAAAATCTCAGGATCATATTATAAACTTTTAAAGCCGAGGGATAAAACTGATAGATTGACCGATTTATAAAAATAGACGTGAACATATTTATTAAGACAGCTATACTTGAAATTGCAGAAAACAATAAAAACAAACAAAATAGGACTAAGAACCTCAGAGGAAAGAAAATTGCACGCAGATGTAACAAAATGTTTTGACTTTTTTCTTCATAAATATCCAGGATCCCTGAGTTGTCAACCCTTTGGCTCGGTACTATAGATATCGCAACCCTTCGGCCTTGATTCCATGATAGATACCGTAAATCTGGGAGAAATATGGCTTTTCTGCCTACCCCTGGGCGTGAACCCGGACCACAAGAAGTTCGTCACGTGGTCACCACGCAGTCAGGTTTAACCAACTGAACTAGCGAGCCGGGGACGAATGTTTTGACCTATGTCTTTATCGAGGAATAATACAGTATCAACATTCGTCGAAAATAACACTCCGAAAGTTACCAAAAAGGTGACAGAAACGGAAATACATAAATATATATATATACATATATATATATATATATATATATATATATATATATATATATATATATATATATATATATATATATATATAAATTAGTGTTGAACTTGGAAGAATGAAACAACACAGACAGCCACGGAATGGAATAATGGTAGATTCACCTCCAGGGCTAGAGCTCAAATACTTTGCTAATGATAATTATGTTTTTCATGATGATGTTGATGAAGATGACGATACGAGTCTGATAAAACTGATGATGATGAATACCAACAACAACAAAAACATTAATAAACTCCCACAAACTTGGCCGATATATCGAGTATTATCTGTACGCTAAATGTTTCTTTCTTGTTTTCCAGAAACAGATTTTCATTCAGCGGTAATTGAATTATCACTATGTTCTTTGTGTTTTCCAATGATCGGCCGAATCGATCGGCGGATCATTCAAGTTCTTCGTGGTGGGACATGACAAGGATTTGTAGACATGACAGAACTTGCACTGCCCATGTCATCCAGATCTGTATTGACAAGAGATGAGTACAGAACCTACATCATAGCACTCGTGACAATCCCACAAGCGCTCCGTCTTCATCTTCAGCAGGCAGCCGATTCCTAAGTTCCGATGGTAGCAATAGTAGACATTTTATGTGTTCCGCTTAACTTTCTAGATTTATATTGACAAGAAGGGTTGATTTATTTGAAAACTATGTCTTTAACACGACGCACCTTTAGAAAATATTTCAGAAAGCTAACAAGACAAAAGGGGTTAATTTTTTGGGAAAATTGTGTCTTCAACACGGCGCACCTTTAGAATATATTTCAGAAAGCTAACAAGACAAAAGGGGTTAATTTTTTGGGAAAATTGTGTCTTCAACACGGCGCACCTTTAGAATATATTTCAAAAGCTAACAAAATAAGAAGGGTTGAATTATTTGAAAATTGTGTCTTCAGCATGACGCATCCTTAGAATAGATTTCACACAGCTACAAGACAAGAAGGGTTCATTTATTTGCAAATAGTGTGTTCAACACGACGCACCCTTAGAATATATTTCAGACAGCTTACAAGACAAACAAAAAAGGGTAATTCATTTAAAAATTGTGTCTTCAAAAGGAAGCACCTTTAGAATATATTTCAGAAAGCTACAAGACAAGAGGGGTTGAATTATTTGAAAATGGTGTCTTCAACACGATGCCCCCTTAGAATATATTTCAGACAGCTAACAAGACAAAAAGGATTTAATGTCTATTATCATTTGACGTCCTTTTTAGGATGACATTTTTCGTTATTTGAAGCCCCACTCTGGCTCTTGCTAGGGGCCGCAATATAGCCAGGCCATAGGTATGGCCTAATGGCTGAACGCGGTTTCTGGGACCTCTCCACGGTGATCCCCTGCATACAAATTGTATAATATGTGCAGTAAAAGGCAGTTGAATTGATTGATCTTTAAATCATGTTAACTGATTGTACTGATCAGTGTCATTGAAAATCATCAAAGAATTATCATGAAAAGAATACTGTGCAAAATTAAACCAGAAACTGGAGAAGAGCTGTGTGGTTTTATTAAAGTTAAGGCACAAACAAAGCCATATTTATTTTGAGAACACTCTCAAAAAGAATGATTAAAATTACCTGTATTTGTGCTTTATTGATTACAGTAAAACATTTTATAGAGTGAAACATGAAGAAAGTGTTAGAATTTTGGAAATCTTTAACAATAATGGTAAAATTCTGAGAATAATTTTAAAAAAAAAACACACACACACACACAAAACATACTGGCAATAGGAAACAGCCATAAGGACTGACAACCAAGTTGGAACTTTTCAAAATATTAAACCAGGTATTAGACAGGGATGTGTACTATCACCCAATTTATTCAATTGGCACAGTCAAATAATGACTAGATCCATTCATGGTATGCCAGAAATATCGGTTGGTAGGCATATTGTTAAAAAGCTGCGATATTGTTGCGATTGCTGAAAATGAAACACAACTGCAATAAATGATGGATATAATTTTAACGGAAAGTGAAAACAAGAGTCTTAGTTTGAACAGCAGTAAAAAAAAGAAGTAATGATAATTACACACACACACACACATATACACACACACACACACACACACACACACACAACTGACAGTCCAAAATGCAGCATCAAAGTAAATGTGGCAAACCTCAAGCAAGGTGATATGTTTAAGTTCTTGGGTACCCTGATAAGATCAGATGGAAGATGCATCAAAGAAGTTAAATGTCGAATAGTTCAAGCAAAGGCAGCATTTTACAAAATGAAGAATATGTTATGCAATTTTTCTTTATCAATTGAGAATAGAAAGAGAATTCTTAGAAGTAAATAAATCTTACCTTGATACACGAAAGTGAATCATGAAAACTAAAAATAAAAAGATTGGTAGAATAGTAAAAAATTATTTTGTAGCTGCGGAGATGTGGTATTATAGCAAATGATGAAAATACCCTAGACAGACAAAAGGAGTAATAAAGATGTCTTGGAAGAAACTGACTCACGAAGAGAACTGATTACCCACATAAAAAAAGACAATCTACATTCTTTGATCATGTGATGAGATGGAGAAAATTGTAGTACATCGTGACACTATGGAGGGAAAGAGAAGCAGAGGGGGATCAAAGGAAACAATGCTGGACAGTTTGACACCATAGAGAAGCATGTGTATCAGAGTCGATTGAAAGTACACGAGACAGAAGGTTGTGCATAGCCATGACCACCAATGCCACACGGCATGGACTTTAAGAAAAAGTCCCTGAAAACATAAGGCAGTTTCACCAAATGGTTGTGAGCCTTACTCACCGATTGTACTGATCACTGTTACTGAAAACATGAGAGCCCCTGGCCACGACCACTTATACTCTGGCCCGTTAGGCTGCCCGTAGAGGTTACAGGATCGTCCGTCATAGCCTATAGCCAGAGTGTTGTTCCGAAACGTTTCCAGAATACTCCTCAGCTGAATCGTCATTAGCTCCCTAGCAAAATAGTAGCATATAACAATGTAACTGCAGTGTACACATTATACAGTGGCATAAAACAAAGTTAGGCTAGTCTATACATGAAGCAGTGGCATATAACAATGCGACTATAGTGTACATATGGAACAGTGGCATAGAACAGTATATAGTGTACATATGAAACAGTGGCATAGAACAATGCTACTATAGTGTACATATGGAACAGTGGCATAGAACAGTATATAGTGTACATATGAAACAGTGGCATAGAACAATGCTACTATAGTGTACATATGGAACAGTGGCATAAAACAATGCTACTATAGTGTACATTTGGAACAGTGACATAGAACAGTATATAGTGTACATATGGAACAGTGGCATAGAACAGTATATAGTGTACATATGGAACAGTGGCATAGAACAGTATATAGTGTACATATGAAACAGTGGCATAGAACAATGCTACTATAGTGTACATATGGAACAGTGGCATAGAACAATGCTACTATAGTGTACATATGGAACAGTGGCATATAACAGGATATAGTGTACATATGAAACAGTGGCATATAACAATGCGACTATAGTGTACATATGGAACAGTGGCATAGAACAGTATATAGTGTACATATGAAACAGTGGCATAGAACAATGCTACTATAGTGTACATATGGAACAGTGGCATAGAACAATGCTACTATAGTGTACATATGGAACAGTGGCATAGAACAATGCTACTATAGTGTACATATGGAACAGTGGCATAGAACAATGCTACTATAGTGTACATATGGAACAGTGGCATAGAACAATGCTACTATAGTGTACATATGAAACAGTGGCATAGAACAATGCTACTATAGTGTACATATGGAACAGTGGCATAGAACAATGCTACTATAGTGTACATATGGAACAGTGGCATAGAACAATGCTACTATAGTGTACATATGGAACAGTGGCATAGAACAATGCTACTATAGTGTACATATGGAACAGTGGCATAGAACAGTAACACTAGTGTATAGATGAAAAAAAAGTTAGTTTCGTATCCTTTACAGGACGTTGCAGAACCAACCCTAGCATTTTTTGGCTCTAGTGAATTTTATGACAAATTTTACGTTGAGTAGTTTGCCATTGCTCACTCAACGGTAAGCTCTCGGTACCACTGTCGAAACGAACGCAAGACAACCCGTCTGCAGATGGGATTTAACCCGGCACCCCGGTATTACGAAGTTCGTTCACAACGCCTAAGCCATAGACGCCGATACATGAAATCGTGGCATAAAACAAAGTTACGCTGGTGTACATATTAGATAGTGACATAAACCAATGTTACATCTGTGGACACATAAAACTGTGGCACAACACGATGTTACATTAGTGTACATGTGAGACAGTGACATAAAAAGATGTTTCGCTATTACACATAATACAGTTTTAAACCACTGTGCATTGAATGACATAAAACACCGAAACCTTACCGTGTGTTGAACACTATGTCATTAAACGCTGTTACCTTACTGTACATAAAGCAATTAGGGCATGAAACGCTGTCAACTTACTGTACGGATACCAACTGTGGCATGAAACACTGTCAACTGACTTTGGATATAATAACTGTGGCTTGAAACACTGTCAACTTACTTTGGATATAACAACTGTGGCATGAAACACTGTCAACTTACTATGGATATAACAACAGTGGCATGAAACACAGTCAACTCACTATGGATATAACAACTGTGGCATGAAACACTGTCAACTTACTTGGATATAACAACTGTGGCATGAAACACTGTCAACTTACTATGGATATAACAACAGTGGCATAAAACACTGTCAACCTACTATGGATATAACAACAGTGGCATGAAACACTGTCAACTTACTATGGATATAACAACTGTGGCATGAAACAGTGTCAACTTACTACGGATATAACAACTGTGGCTTGAAACACTGTCAACTTACTTTGGATATAACAACTGTGGCATGAAACACTGTCAACTTACTATGGATATAACAACAGTGGCATGAAACACAGTCAACTCACTATGGATATAACAACTGTGGCATGAAACACTGTCAACTTACTTTGGATATAACAACTGTGGCATGAAACACTGTCAACTTACTATGGATATAACAACAGTGGCATAAAACACTGTCAACCTACTATGGATATAACAACAGTGGCATGAAACACTGTCAACTTACTATGGATATAACAACTGTGGCATGAAACAGTGTCAACTTACTACGGATATAACAAGTGTGGCATGAAACACTGTCAACTTACTTTGGATATAACAACTGTGGCATAAACACTGTCAACTTACTATGGATATAACAACTGTGGCATGAAACACTGTCAACTTACTATGGATATAACAACAGTGGCATGAAAAACTGTCAACTTCTTCTTCCTCCTCTGCCTTTATATCCCCCAATGGAGCATAGGCCAACCAACTCCCGCCAAGTCGTTCTATCCTCCGTCATTTCATGGAGCTCTCCCCATGTCCTCCCCATCTTTCTAACTTCATTTTACAGATCTCTTCTCCATGTGTTTTTTTACCTTCCTTTATTCCTATGCTCCTGTGGGTTCCAATGCAAAGACATTCTAGTTATGCTGTTCTCCTGTTTTTTCAGTGTGTGTCCTATCCAACGCCAGCCTCTTTTCCTTACCTCTTGGTCCACTGGAGCCTGTTTAGTTCTCTCCCAAAGCTCTACATTAGTTAATGAATGTCTGTAATTTGTTAGTAATTGCCTTAGTCGCTCTCCATGTTTCCACCCCATACAAAAGTACTGATTTGACATTAGAATTAAAAAATTTTTAGTTTAGTATTTCTTTTAATTTTTTTTTACCTCCACAAATTCCCTAGTGTTATGAAAGCTCCTCTTGCCTTTTGTATTCTTATTTTAATATCTCTATCAGTTCCTCCATCTTTATCTACATTACTGCCCAAATAGGTGTACAACTCCACGTCTTGGAGTGGGGCGCCATTAAGAGAAACCACATTACTATTTGTCTGATTTATTCTCATTATCTTTGTCTTTCCTTTATGGATTTTCAGACCAAGCTGCTGTGATCTCGCATCCAGTATATTTAATTTATCTTGCGTCTGATTCCGTGAATGGGACAGAAGAGAAATATCATCAGCGAAGTCCAGATCATCTAGCTGTTTTGTAGGGGTCCACTGAAATCCATTCTTGGTGTTAGCAGTTACTGTCTTCATAATCCAGTCTATAGCCAGTAAAAATAGGAGACGCTACAAAAGATATCCCTGTCGCACACCTGTTTTTATTTCAAATGTATTTGTTAGCTTTCCCACATGAAGAACTCGACATGTCATGTCTTTATATGTTGCCTTTACTAAGTTAAATAATTTTATGTGGGATTCCATAGTGCCCCATCAATTTCCAGAGAAATTTCCTATCAATGCTTTGAAATGCTTTTTCATAATCTATAAATCCAATGTAAAGTGGTGAGTTCAGTTCAATGCTTTGCTCTATTATAATACGTAATGTGGCTATCTGGTCAGTACAGGGTCTGTTTGACCAAAAATCTGCCTATTCATCTCTTAGCTTTTTATCAATAGCATCTTTTATTTTTTCCAAAATAATTATACTTAATATTCTTCCAGGAACTGATAGTAACATAATTCCTCTATAGTTTTCACACTCCTGTAGATACCCTTTTTTTAGGCAGTTTCACAAGATATCCTTCTCCCTGTCTGCTGTTATTTCTTCGGTCTCTCAGACTTTACTGAATAATCTATGTAGCAATTCTGTTGATGTGTTTGTGTTGGCCCTGATGGCTTCAGCTGGGATACCATCTGGGCCTGTCGCCTTTCCTTCCTTGAGAAGATTGATAGCTTTTCTAATTTCCCCTCTGGATGGTATCTCACAGTTGATATCCAGTTCCATTTCTAAAGGCTGGATATCTGGGGAAACCTCTGGGCCTGGTCTATTTAGAAAGCATTTCAAAATATTCAACCCATCTGTCCATTTGATCTTTAGTGTTAGTAAGTACCTTTCCTTGACTATTTTTGATTGATCCAGTTGGCTGACTCTATTTACCTACTAATTTTCTTGTGTTGCTGTAAAGTTCTCTGAGGTTTCCTTTTGCTGCTGCTGTCTCCGCTTCTTGAGCTAGATCATTTAGATATCTCACTGTATCTGCCCTTATACGCCTCCGAACTTACTTATTGGCTTCTGTGTATTTATCCTGAGCTCTAGCTTTAGCAGCTCTAGTTTTGCTATTGTTTAAGTCTGCCTTTTTACTGTTCCTATCTTCAATCAGTTTAATGGTTTCTGGTGTTATCCACGCTTTATGTTTCCGTTCTTTCTTGCCAAGACCTTCTACGCAAGATTCATTCCAGATTCCTTTGATCTGATCCCAGCAGACTTCTGTGCTGACATCTTCAGCTAACTGCTGCAACACCTGGTACTTATTAGAGACTAACTGAAAACTGTTCCTTAACTTCTTTATCCCTGAGATAACCTACATTATATTGGTTTCTATGATTATAAGATGTTATATATCTTTTTAGTTTCAACTTTATTTTACTTACCACCAGGAAATAGTCAGTAAATACATCGGCACCCCTGAAAGCCCTAACATCGTAAAGGGATGATCTAAACTTTTTTTTTACATCAATTTGATCAATTGTCTTATGGTCTGACGATTCCCATGTTGCCTTGTGCATTCTTTTATGGGGAAAAATACTTCCACCAATAACATTCTGGTCAACTGTCAACTTACTATTGATATAACAACTGTGGCATGAAACACTGTCAACTAACTGTACATATAGCAATTAGGGCATGAAACACTGTCAACTTACTATGGATATAAAAACTGTGGCATGAAACACTGTCAACTTACTGTTGATATAACAACTATGGCAGGGAAAGGCTGTTAACTTACTGTAGATATAACAACTCTCACATGAAACGCTGTCAACTTACTGTGCGTATTCAACAGTGCAATGAAACCCTGTCACTTTACTGAAGATATAACAACTGTGGCTTAAAACGCTGACAACTCACTATATGTATAAAACTGTGGAACGAAATGCTGTTATTTTACTGTGCATATTTTTAAAACAATGTTCAGATGAAACGATGTTACCTTAGTCAGGTAATTGAGGGATCCTTTGAGGCAACTGGCATGTGGCGCCAGGTCCACAAGCTGTAGACCAGTGAGTGATGTGGTCAACATGGCGCCAATCACTGTTACTTACTTGCTAGACATTTGAATGTAACGGAGGCTGGCCCAGCCTAATTCTGTCTAATAATCAGCCTCGAAGTGAATTTGACAGATGACAAATGACAACACACAAAAAATATATTATTTTTCAAGACTAGGAGTCGTGACCTGTGGGGAGCGCCCCTCCCCCCCCCCACCCCATTTCAAACTCATGTGTAAGGTGTTGATGGCCCCCTGCTCCTATTGTAGCTCTTTTGTAAGTATATATTTGTACATTTAATAATCATTATTATATGAAATAAGCATTTGGCACACTATTATTTGTGTTATAGTTGTGGCTGCTGCTGTTGCTGCTGTAATAGTTTTTGTGGTGTAGCTCTGATAACTATAAAACTTCAACTTGGTCTCTGTGAACACCCTGTCGCATAACACTGGTGTCACGTGGTTTCCCCTAATGAACTAAAAAGACACTCTGAAGTAGCTTAAGTGTTGATATGTTGGCTCGCAATGATCTGTGCGGTATCCAGCAGCTCAAAAGAACATCTAACCTGCTTCAGGGGTGAGGCGACACAAATTATGATACTACAGAGTAAACAATTATTCCTAGGTGTAACTTGGTCTGTCTTCCCTACTACTTTATGTCCCCAGACTAGATAGTAATCCTATGCTAGTCAAATTAACACAGTACAGAATAAACCAAAATAATGCAACATGCATTCCAAAAAACTCAAGAAATGTGAAGGGTTGACACTAACCACAGAATGTAAAAAAAAAAAAACATCATGTAATCAGTGCAACACAAGTAAGAATGTAATGGAATGGATTCAGCAGGACAAAGTAAACTTTCTATGGAATCTAAGAAGGCCCTACTCCAGACTGACTCCTGATGTGCCACTAGCATCAGCAGTTACCATCATTGCTTAACTGTGGAATTATGGACCTAGGTAACTGGTGTTTGGTGTTATGAATAGCCGCACTTTCTATTCTCCATAACTTATCTCTCCAGGAGGTCATGTTTATCTGAAGTACAGCATCTTCCAACAGTTGACACTGAGAATGTTTGTCGTCTCGTGAATCTAACATTAAATCACGCTGTTTACTAGTCACTGGAGTCACCAAAAACAAAAGTCTATAACAATATAGTGTTTATAGCATCGAATGCTATGCTCACGTGAGAAAGCACCCCAGCTGAGAATGAATCAATACGGTCTGGTCCTAACCTGTTCACTTCTTTTCGAGTTTAAAGGTGCGTATCTACATAAATTATGAGCAAATCGTATTATAAACTGGATACATAAAGTCCAAGCTGTCAGGAACACATTAAGGGAGTAGGAGGATATAACTTTTATCGGCCTGTAGGTGAACGCTATAGTTTCGCGCTCTATGGCAGTTTAAATGATTCGACGTTTCGTTGCTTCACATAACCAGCTCTGTCTTACTTTCAGCAGCAGTGCTGAATGCTTAATTAATATTAATCTACAATGTACTTACCCATGCTCATAGAAGTTCCCGGGTGAATCGGTGACTTTCACACGGAGTTAAGCAGATAGACAGACAGAGCAGCAAGCAGTTCACTTAGTCTGGAAGCTCAGTCAAGAATGAGTCCCAAATCTTAACGCCCCTCCAGCTGTAGGTGGGAGGGGATTCATTCGCGTCCAAAGCGGTAGTGAGGCAAATGGAATTTGGCCTCAATATAAGTAGAATTCAAACCTATATGGCTGAATTTAAATACATTTCATTCCCAAGAGAATTAGGATGGAATTAAGTACTTATCCCGACATCTTGACATATAAGCACAAAAGAAGGACTATTCACTTATGGAGGAAAGTCCAAGATTTTAAATCAACTCATTTACATAGAGGTGTACAAAATGTAAACAGGTTCAAGACCAGCAGGGAGTCGGCTGTCATGTGACACACCCCACAAAGGAAATCCCACGAAGGGGTTGAAGGATGGGGGTGGGGTGGAAGGGAATACCTGCCTCGGAATGGCGTCTTAGATTTATGGAAACGGCTAGGAAGACACACAGCTATATCATGTCTCCAGTGCCGTGAAGATAACCCAATTCATAACTCATAATATATAGTAAGTGAATGTGGTAAGTATAATATCATGCAATAAAACGACTAAGAGGGTAACAAACAAAGAGGAATTAGTGATTATTTAAACCCAAACAAATACCGAAAAGAGCATGCAGCCAAACATATATATATATATATATATATATATATATATATATATATATATATATATATATATATATATATATATATATATATATATATATATATATATGAATACATGACACAAGAATGCCTAAAAAAAAAACAGAGAGAGACAACGTCAAGCACAAATCAAGAAATCGTGAATACATTGCCGTAAAAAACCTGGAACCTCCCTAACACCACCAGTAAACTGCTAAATTCTTGATCTTTCAAAGTGGAGATTACGTGGATTGTCTTTCTTGAGAGGAATTATCACTTTAAACAACAACAGTAAAAACGGATTAAATTATTTTTATTGCACCATACTGTATTGCCATCCAAAAGAGTGTGTGCGCACAAGATTTGATTCCAGATTTGAATTCGGTGAGTTATCAGGAAATATTCTTTCTTTTTTTTAAATAGAAAGCAAAGTTTTTACCAGACACACACCGTGAGTGAGTATTATATACATACCTAAAAGTTTTTAAAAACAGGCGTAACAGCAGCTGAGCTGATACTAAAAACTAAATCAACAAAACACATCTCTATCGGCAAAGGAAATAGAAATCATAAACGTTTTAACTGTATCATTCTGTCAAAAGTCATTATCAAGGAATTAAAGAAGAGTTTAACGTTAAAAAAAAACACCAATGAATACAACCTTTAATCTTTCTACTTCTTTCTATACATTGTCTGCTTGTTTATTTTATATACATACATAATGTCGTTGACAGAGTATGCTAACACACAACAAGACACCTACCTACCTGTTGGATTCACTTGTAATACCGCCGCCATAATCCTTCAAGATTTGCAACGTTGAGTTGATGGTCTTCTCCGCCATCGGGTTGTACTCGTCACGTGACTCATAACAGATCTGTTCCTCGTTGTTTTTCTCCAGGTGCTCAAAGATGAAGCCGCCAGCCACACAGTAGAGGACCACCATGACACACAAACCCAGGTGTGAGAACACGAACTTCATAATTGTCTTGCAGAAGGAGCCTTTGTCCGGGCGGACAGCCATGTTTTCTCTGAGATCTTCCGCAATGTCCTCCTATTCCGTGGTGTATAATACTGGCCAAATATATATAGTGTTCATTAACTTAAATGGAGATTATTGTCCACTGTTCAAAGAAATATGTGGGACAGATCCGAACACAGAAAATGTTCCTCACATATCGATGCCACTACGCCAAAGTCCCCTCGCTAAGTGCTAAATGTTGTTTCGAAAAAAAAAAATCACGTTTGAATATAAATGAATGAATTATTTAATAAATCAATCACGTAGCCTTTTCTTCCCAAATATTTTCCTTAAACCCCCACAAATAGTTTTGACACGTATTTCTGTTATGACGTATTGAACCCAGAACAGTATTGATCAGAAGATGTAATCCTTCCGCTGCTGGCGATTCCACTGCTTTGATAATCAAGCGCGTTAACCACGATGACATTATCTATGTGTGTTTATTAGTGTATGTGTGGTGGTGTGGGAGGGGTGGGGGGGGGGGGTTACATCTTGTCTATTAAAACGTTAACCCTAGATTCAAACCGTTTCTCTAGCTAATCACACGAGACTTTAAAATAAGTTCACAAGCAAAACACACAAATTATTTCGGTTCTTCCCCCCACTCTCAGAAAATTTAAGTCAAAAATACTGGAAATAACTCTAGTTTTATCTTCGTTCAAAACAACGGTAATTCTTACTGCAATAATTAAAACTATGCCTTATTTTAAACTAACTGAATAACTGACATATTACACGTAGAATAACACAATATTTTTATCGAATATAAGAGTATGCCATTTAAAGAGATATATACTAGAAACACGGACAGGTAATCGCATCTTTAACTATGTGAATGTTTGAGTTTAACAGAGTTTAATACACACGTTTTTAAAATACGTCAACTGATTACAATCCAGTCGTCGAGCCACGTCTCTAGAATAAACTGTTGGCCATGGCAATGCCCGAAAGCTGTCAACGAGGGCGATGTTTTATATCTCTAGGATCTAGCGATGCGGGCATCAATGATCACTGTCAATAAATCGATTGTTCCAATGTTTTACCTCTTGTTTCTGCATGTTTCTTATAGCCAATCCAGTGTTTGCCGGGTATGTTATGGATTTAATATATTTTAGATGCATTCTTATTGATACGTCAGACTTCCAGCCATTGTCCTGCTGGGGAAATGAAATCGGTTAGGCCTGGGAGCTAAATTCTTATTTAGAAAGGGGGTACATAATGTCAGATGATAGGACAGAAAGATTGCCAATATGACGAGAGGAAATTGATCAAAACTCTCGCCATTTAGAAACAAATTAAGGAGACTTTGAAAGCAACAGAGATGTGGTTTGTGAAACAAATGTTACGATTACCTTGGACGGCCAGAGTTAACTAACAACGATTGAAAGTAGATCTCTATATATAACAATAAGAAAGAGACACACATTGTTCTTTGGCCACGTAATTAGAAGAGAGACATTGGAGAAAATCGTGACAACTGGAAAGATCAGTAAAAAAAAAAGGTGTAGAACCAGACCACGAGGGATGATGCTGGATGCCCCGAAACGATGGCATGGAGGGATATCATCAAGAGAGCTGTTCCAGGCAACAAGGGATCGTGATCTGTGGAGATGTATGAACGCCTAGGCTAGTTGACAGGGCACATGATGATGATGATATAGAAACAGAAAAAAATAAAAATTTTAAGAGAACGGAAACAAACAAGTGCTTGGGTATACGCTTAAATTGCCCGAGCGTACTAAGAGAAGAAATAAAATCTAGAGCACAATCTGAAAAAAAGACAATATACCTTAGGATATTTGTTAAAATCAAATGCTGTATCTGGCAAATACCGAAATCACAATATATAAGACCTGATATATTTGTTCTGAATGGCTCTGAAACTTAGTAGAACTTGAAGTCAATAACACATAGCTAAACATTCGTTTTGGAGACAACCAAATATGTCAAAAGTCTGTTAAAGTAACCACACATTCGTTAAAAATGTTATGAAAATTCCATATTAAAAAAGACAATACAATAACTACATATTCGTTTAAGAGGAAATTGTTAAATGGGAAAACTGGAGTATATCGTGACAGCAGGAAAGTTAGAGGTGAAAAGAAAACGTTGAACAGTTTGGCATCAGGCGTTGGATGCACGTCTAAATAAAATCTGAGTGGTAGCACGTGAGACAGAAGACTGTGAACAGGTAATGTTGCCAATGCCACACGTATTGCATGATATGTAGAAAACAAAATCAGTTATATTAGAATGTTTGATCTATATCGTGAAAAGTAAATTACATTAGGCATACGTTTATTTAAGGCAAAGTCCTTGATATATTTAAACAGAATACTGTCGAAACGTGATGACAAGGGTAGGGTAGTCACCAGCATGCTAGTCCTATGGTGAGGGGTTTGAATCCCAGTAAAGGATGATTTTAAAACTTATAGTGGAAACCTATTTTGGTTACCCCGAAGATGAAGCACACGATATGATAAAGGTTTTGTCCGTTGGAGCTGAGATCCCGTTGCGGCTTCTCGGGTCCCTGAGATGTCAAACTTTCAGGTATCAACCCAGCTGGGAAATATTCTCGTCAATCAATTCGGAAAAGATACGAAAAATTTGCTTGACAGAGAAACATAGGAGATCGCTCTGGATTGTAAAGAAAATCAATAATAAACGCCTCAAAGCCAGTAAGGTCAGAAATACACAGGGACATGAAATATCAACAATGGAAAGCTTTCAATGTATGCTTTTATTGTTGCTTTTATATTCTGTAGCTGTTGCAATTTTTTCTAGGAGTGGGATTAGTATTGATGCAATCGCTTGTTTTAATTTAATTACGAGTACTTGAAAAATACAGAATAGTAGCTTGGTCTCAATCGCTAATCACCTCTGGGCAGTTGAAAACATAAGTAACTGACCCTTGGCATACATGTCTGCCCAAAAAAAAGGTGATCTACAGGAGTGTCAAAACTATAGAGGAATTATGTTGCTGTCAGTTCCTGGAAAAATATTAGGTAGAATTTTTTTGGGAAAGATTAAAAGATGCTATTGATAAAAAGCTAAGAGATGAGCAGGCAGGTTTTCGGTCAAACAGATCCTGTACTGACCAGATAGCCACATTACGTATTATAATAGAGCAAAGCATTGAACTGAGCTCACCACTTTACATTGGATTTATAGACTATGAAAAAGCTTTTGACAGCATTGATAGGGAATCTCTCTGGACATTGATGGGGAACTATGGAATCCCACAGAAAATTATCAACTTAGTAAAGGCAACATATAAAGACATGAAATGTCAGGTTATTCATGAGGGAAAGCTAACTGATGCATTTGAAATAAAAACAGGTGTGCGACAGGGTTGCCTTTTGTCGCCTTTCTTATTTTTACTGGCTATAGACTGGATTGTCAGCTCTGTGGCTAAGTCGATGCGAACGTTTCGTATTGCCGGGATGCCAGGTTCGATCCCAGCTGCGGGCCATACGCCTTGCGTTGGTTTCGACAGTGGTATCAAGAAAGCCGACCGTCCAGGAAGCAATGGCAAACTACTGGACCTAAATTTGCCAGGAAAAACTATGCAACAGCCAGGGGCTGTTGGGGGTTGGTTCTGCAACGTCCTGTAAGGGATACGCAACTAACCTTATAGACTGGATTATGAAAAAAGTAACTACTAAAACTAAGAATGGAATTCAGTGGACCCCTACAAAACAGCTTGATGATCTGGACTTCGCTGATGATATTGCTCTTCTGTCCCATTCACGGAATCAGATGCAAGATAAATTAAATATACTTGATGCGAGATCACAGCAGCTTGGTCTGAAAATCCATAAAGGAAAGACAAAGGTAATGAGAATAAGTCAGGCAAATAGTAATGTGGTTTCTCTTAATGGCACCATACTCCAAGACGTGGAGTCGTACACCTATTGGGGCAGTAATGTAGATAAAGATGGAGGAACTGATAGAGATATTAAAATAAGAATACAAAAGGCAAGAGGGGCTTTCATAGCACTAGGGAATTTGTGGAGGTCAAAAAAAATTAAAAGAAATACTAAACTAAAAATTTTTAATTCTAATGTTAAATCAGTCCTATTGTATGGGGCGGAAACATAGAGAACAACTAAGACAATTACTAATAAATTACAGACATTCATTAACTGGTGCCTGCGATGAATAGAGGGAATTAAATGGTATGAATAAATAATGTAGAACTTTGGGAGAGAACTAAACAGGCTCCAGTGAACCAAGAGGTGAGGAAAAGACGCTGGCGTTAGATAGGACATACACTGAGAAAACAGGAGAACAGCATAACTAAAATGTCTTTACATTGGAACCCACAGGGGCATAGGAATAAAGGAAGGCCAAAAAACACATGGAGAAGAGAGCTGGAGAATGAAGTAAAAGAGATGGGGAGGACATGGATAGAGCTCCATGCAATGACGAAGGATAGAGCGACTTGGCGTGAGTTGGTTGAGGGCGTATGCTCCATTGGGTGATAGAAAGGCAGAAGAAGAAGAAGAAGAAGAAGAAGAAGAAGAAGAAGAAGAAGAAGAAGAAGAAGAAGAAGAAGAAGAAGAAGAAGAAGAAGAAGAAGAAGAAGAATGGGGGGGGGGGGTTACATAATTAGCGTGAAATGGGACACGTAAAAGAGAAAAAAAGAGCTAGGACACTGTGCGCTTTCCTAAATGAAAATTCTGTAAATTCAGTCCTTTTCACTCCAAGACAAAATAAAATCAATCTTGCATCTTACATAAAACGAATGTTGATGTGCGGATGCGATTTATAGACATTTAGTAAATAGGCTTATGTATGAATATACTGTAAAAACATAAATGTTTTTTCCTGAATATTGTCCAAAAAAAAAAATGCTTTTGATAGAAAGACAGCAATCCATGATTTTAAGAATATCAAGACACGTAACAATGCATTCAAAACAAGGGAAAGGGGCAGTCGAAACTATTTATATCCTGTGCCTAACTTCGTTTTCAAATTCCCGACCCGCGACGGTAAGC